TTTTTTTTTGAGACAGTCTCATTTTGTCGTCCTTGGTAGAGTGCTGTAGCATCATAGCTCACAGCAACCTCAAACTCTAGGGCTCAAGAGATCCTCTTTCTTTAGCCTCCTCAGTAGCTGGGACTACAGGCACCCGCCACAATGCCCAGCTATTTTATTTTTTTTAAGAGATGGGGTCTCACTTTAGTCTCGAGCTCTTGAGCTCAGGCAATCTGCCCACCTCATCCACCCAGAGTGCTAGGATTACAGGTGTGAGCCACAGAGCCTGGCCTTAATTAATGACGTTTAAAAATTTTCACAGCACACCTAAGATCCTATCATGTACAACAGTATGCCACAGTATACAGGTTGAAAATCACTGCTTTTGAGTAAGATTTGTCAACTTCAATATTAGTGACATTTTGGGGCCAGATAACTGTTGTGAGGGCTGTCATGTATGCTGTAGAATTTCTTTTTTATTGTTTTTTTTAAGAGACAGAATTTCATTATGTTGCCTAAGCTGGCATCAAACTCTCAGTGTGCTAGCCTTCCTCCCCCAATTTAAAAATCACTGAGGTAGAGAACTGTCATTAGTGAAGAGAACATAGTTTGTGTCCTAGGCCTGCAGAGGAGGAACAAAAGAGAAGAATCACTGCTGTTTAGAAGTTATTTAAAAATCTATCTACCTAAATGACATGAGGAAATGGCATAGCACTCTTGGACAGTTTCCTAGAGTACTCAACTGTATTTATCAGAGAATAAAGACCTTTCAAAGCAGCTCCTCTGCAATCCTTCAGCCTCACTCTCCATAGTAGATGGGCCTACAAGTGTGCACCACTGTGCATGGCTCACTGTAGGACGCTTAACAGCATCCCTGGCCTCTACTCAACAAATGCTATAGAATCCCTCCACCCCTAGTAGTGACAGTCAAAAATGTCCTCAGACATTGCCAAATGTTCCCTCGAGGGCAAAATCATCCCCAGCTGAGAAGCAATGCTCTAGTGGGAGAGTGCAGACATCCCCTACACATAAGTACACCTTCAGAACCACACATTTGATGAGATGAGCGCATCAGTGATGCAGGATACAATAATACATCTGAAGGGCTTAACAAATCAATGACTATGAGCAAGCAAAAGTGCTGATTTAGAAAGATATTTGGGCTTGAAAATTACCTCAGGGGCTTACATGTAACATATGTGTATATATACACAGGGTACGCATTCTTTGTGAGAGCCCAGCAATCCCTTTATGCTGTCCTCACCCTTAAAGGTCCTTCAAGGTCTTTGCCATTGGAGTCTTCTGGGTGCTCACTCTTTTAGGTCCAGGGTATAGTTGTAATGGTGGCAATGGCCACAGCTGCAGAAACAGCTTGAACTGGAAGGCTCCAAATCCCCATTTCTTCAAGGCAAAGTAAATATGCAAGGTGGATGAAACCCTAGAGGTTGCCCGTCCCATTCGGTCCATAGTTTTCCCTCTTCCTCTAGCATGCTGAGTTCAGAGGGGGAGGGGCACTCATGGATTCAGCAGTAGGGTTGGGCCTAGAATCTGCTTCTACATCTGATGGGCCTGGGCTTTGTGTTCTGCGTCCTGACTAAGATTATACAAGGGGTAGAGGGTCCTCCTCTGGGAATTCGCTGGCCCACTCACACAGACTCAATAGTCAAGAGTTATGTAAATAACTACATCATCCCCACTTCAGATTAATAAAGTTAACTTAATTCCTTAAAAAAGCCATTTTGGCAAATGTCAATAGAAGGAAGTCCATGAATAAATGCTATGTCCAAGTGAACTTCAGCTCTGCCAGAGGCGCTGCATTGAAAGGCCTTTATTCTCTGATAGATATAGCTGAGTACTCCAGGAAACTGTCCAGGAGTGCTATGCCATTTCCTAATGTCATTTAATCTAGGTAGATAGATTTTTTTTTTTTTTTTTGAGACAGAGCCTCAAGCTGTCCCCCTGGGTAGAGTGCCATGGCATCACGTTCACAGCAACGCCCTGGCATCACAGCTCACAGCAACCTCCAACTCCTGGGCTCAAGCAAGTCTCCTGCCTCCGCCTCCCAAGTAGCTGGGACCACAGGCGCCCGCCACAATGCCTGGCTATTTTTTGGTTGCAGCTGTCATTTTTGTTTGGCGGGCCCAGGCTGGATTCAAACCCGTCACCTTGGGTGTATGTGGCTGGCGCCTTAGCCACTTGAGCCACAGGCACTGAGCCAGGTAGATAGATTTTTAAATAACTTCTAAACAGCAGTGATTCTTCTCTTTTGTTCCTCCTCTGCAGGCCTAGGGCATAAACTATGTTCCCTTCACTAAAATCAATTCTCTATGTCAGTGATTTTTAAATTGGGGGAGGGAGGGTTATGAAGCTAGCACACTGAGAGATGTCAGAACCTGGGGCTGAAATATAGATTACAGTGGCATCTCACTGCACATACTCCACCAATTTATTTGTCCACACCAATGTAGAGTAAGGTTTAATATCTGCCAAGGCAAGTTGTCTATTATCATTTTCTTTCTAACAATTTCTCAGCTATTCTTTGACATTTTCTCCTTATAAACTTAAGTCTTTTTATCTAGAAACACAGCACATTTTTCCATAAACATGAGCCAGTATTTCAAAGCCTTTTTTTTTTTTTGAGACAAAGTCTCACTTTGTCACCCTGGGTAGAATGCCATGGCGTCATAACTCACAGCAACCTCAAAATTTTGGGCTCAAGTGGTTCTCTTGCCTTAGCCTCCTGAGTAGCTGGGACTACAGGTGCCTACCACTACCCAGCTAATTTTAGAGATGGGGTCTTGCTCTTGTTCAGGCTAGTCTTGAACTCCTAAGCACAGGTGATGCACCTGCCACAGCCTCCCAGAGTGTTAAGATTACAGGTGAGAGCCGCCGCACCCAGCCCATCAATCAAGATCTTTTAATGATTCTGATCATTTTCCTGTTTTGGGTTTTCTACATAAACAATCACACTGTCTGTATGTAAGACTAATTTTGTATCTTTTCCATATTTATCAC